ATCAGACTCTGGTTCTGGTATTAGGTCCGATTAGACTCTGGTTCTGGTCCAATCTCTGGTATCTCTGCCTCTCCAGACTGAAGGTGTCATGTCTGCAGGTCAGAGCGGGTTGGGGAAGTCCACGCTCGTCAACACGCTGTTCAAGTCCAAGGTCAGCAGGAAGTCATGCTCACCGAACTACGAGGACAAGATCTCCAAGACCGTCAAGCTGCATGCAGTCAGTCACGGTAAGCCTCCAGACCTGCTGACCCCAGGACCGCCTCAGGGGGGTTTGGGTTCTGTTGGTTCTGTTTCCTTGCAGGTATTCGGACCTCAGAGGAAACTCTCACTTCCTGCTTTCACAACTTCTTTCCTTCAGCAGCTTCTGTCATGGCAGAAATGAGCAGGATGCTCAGACACGTTCACCAGGATACACTGGCCCCCTTTAGGGGGCGGTGTAGAGCACGGACAGCAAGCTCATAATGCCACACTGTATTAGTGGAAAACCCCGCCCTGTTCATCACAACCTGTTGAATGATTATATTTATGGGCCCAATCAAAAGATGTTTCTGGAAGTTTCCGTTCGCCACCTCAGTCACCCGTCCAGGTTTTTCCATGCCGAGCCGTCTGCGTAGTGTTCTGGGTGTGGGGTACAGAAATGTTAAAATGTTGTTTATCACACACGCATTGAGCATAAACCTGCCTTCAACAGGTCACTTGAACAGGTCATTTTAACGAGTCGCTTTAACGGGTCAGCCAGGCAGCTCAGGCCCGTCTTTAGCGACAGTTCAAATCCAATAGAAACAGAATCGGGACAAAAAAGAAAGATCCTTAAAAAGGGAAGTAAACAGCCGACATATGCAGGTCGTTTCAGACAAACTAAAATATCCACCTTTTCTCACCAAACCTCTGCAGATGTCAGAGAAGTTGTTTGAGCAAAGTGAAGCTCCTCGTTAGACGCTCAGTCTGCACACAGGAGACCTTCCCATCGGGTCTCAGTTTAGATCAGGGGGAACTAATTAAAAATCCGTTTGGTCAGAATAAAGAAAATCATCAACCAGTAAAGGTCTGGAGACATTTTTTATTATAATCTGTCACTTTTAACAGAATTTTACTGAAATAAAATCAGGTGTTTATGCATCCATGTTATACATTGAATTTTTAAATAAAAAATATTTTAAAAAAAGAAAATTTTTCCATTTTAAAATCTAAAGTGTTTTTTAAGTAGAGAACAAAAATCATTTTCTAAAACCCCTTAACTAAGCGTTTGTTATTTTCTTTCTTCTTTCTGTCCTAATGTTGGCAGTGGGCTTTAGGCTGCCCTGCAAGGCTTTAAACCTGGGTTTAACCGGAGACTAAGCCATTCTCAAGCACATATCAGGGAGCTCATTTTGAGCCTGGATCCAGATTTATTGTTGATGCTGTTCATGGTAGAACACAGGTTTGCCTGCTGTGTC